TGCTATTGTATTAATTTGTTTAGCTCACTTCTTAAATCTTCTTCTTTATCAATAGTCCACACATGCCATCATCAGTAACTTATGGTATATGGTGGGTGGACCTTAAGCAAGTCCCTAACTGCTCAGATTCTCAGTTCATTTAACAAGGATTTGTTCATTTAACAAGGATTTGTTTACTGATTCCCATGGGCCAGGCACCTGCTATCTGATAGCAAGTTGAAGAATAAAACATTTTCTGCCCTTAAGATGGAGCCCTGGTGGCATAGTGGTTAAGAGCTCGGCTGATAACCGTAAAGGTTGGCAGTTCAAATCCCCCAGCCACTCCTCAGAAACCCTATGGGACAGTTCTAGTCTGTCTTATCGGGTCACTATGAATCAGAATCAACTTGATGGCAACAAGTTTGGTGCGGTTTGGGTTGGCCCTTAAGACACTCAGTTTCCTCATTCTTGTAATGGGAGGAGAGTATGAGATGCTAACAAAGTTCCTTCCAGGTATGACTTTCCTTAATCCAACATTGATTTCACCACAAGAAGACATATGCCAGGATGTGGAAACTCACTTTAAGGGCAGAGGCAAAATACACCTAAGTCACAACATTTTTGAAATTGCCTTAAAATTGTCTACCTTCTGTCCATTTTATTTATTTTTTAATTATAAAATATTTCAAATACACAGAAAAATATAGAGGATGCTATAACAAACACATGCATACCCACCACCCAGCTTTGTTATTCAGCAGTAACACATTACTGGTACCTCTCAGAAACACTTCCTTCACTTGGCTTCCAGGACATCACCTTTCCTACTGGCTGCTACTTCTCAGTCTTCTTTGCTGTCTCCTCTGCTCCTGCCCGCCCTGTTAAGGCTCGACGGCCCCACGGCTCAGTCCTTGCACTCCTCTTTTCCTCTAGTTACACCATTTCTTTATCTCACTCAGTTTCGTGGATTTAAATACTATTTTGTTGTTGTTGTTAGTTGCGTACGGTTCCTCTGACTCATGGAGACCTCATGTACAACAGAACAAAATGTTGTCTGGTCCTGCACCATCTTTATGATCATCAGTATGTTTGTGTCCATTGTTGCAGCCACTGTGTGTTTTGAGTGCCTTCCAACTTGGGGGGCACAACTTCCAGCACTATACCTGACAATATTCTGTTGTGATCCATAAAGTGTTCATTGACTAATTTTTGGAAGTAGATCACAGGCCTTTCTTCTTAGTCTGTCTTAGTCTGGAAACTCCCCTGAAACCTATCCACCATAAGTGATCTTGTTGGTATTTGACATACTGCTGGCATAGCTTCCAGCATCATAGCAACATGCAAGCCACCACAATACAACAAACTGACAAAAAAATGATAGAAATATTATTTACATGCTAAGAATTCCCAAATTTGTATCTCCAGTGAGGATCGCTCCACTAAACTCCAGATTCATATATTCAACTCTCTTTTCAGCATTTCGACTTCTATGGCTGTTATGGATTGTATTGTGTACCCCTAAAATATGTGTTAAAATCCTAAACCCTGTACTGGTGGATGCGATCCTATTTGGAAATAGAGGTTTACTTTGGTTATGTTAATGAGGTCATACAAGTGTAGGGTGGATCCTATATCTAATCACTTTTAAGTTATAAAAAAGACCAGAATAGTCTGAGACTGAGGTGTGATGAATCACTTTTATATGGCCTTCCTCATCATGGTCTTTTAACTCCCACCAAATGATTGGGTGGAACTATGAAAATAAGGTGATTGTGGTCTACTGAGGGGAATTGGATAGCTTGCTAATAATACAAATAAGGTTCACAGCACCCTTGTGGGGGTGGGACCATGCAAATAAGGTGTATGGAACCCTAACAAAGGGATTGGTCAGTTTTGCCATCCCACTAGGCTTAAAATGAGCTATCCCAGAGGCAGACAGGGTTACCTCACGACCACCAAGAAAGAAGAGCTAGGAATGGAACCCGTCCTTTGGACCTGGGGTCCCTGTGCTGAGAACCTCCTAGACACAGGGGACAGAGAGAGCTGTAACACCGGAGATGGTACAAGATGGCACTGAGAAACAGAGCAGAGAAACAGTGGCAGCAGAACCAGGAGACCAGCACGAGACAGTGCAGTGGGCTTCCTGGCTCACAAAGCAAGGCAGTTAACAGTGGGTATGCCGACCTGTGGAGTGAGAAAACTGAGTGCCTTTGGGCAGGAGGCTTCCTGGTGGAGTGGGGTGCCCCTGGGCACTTATTAGTGAAGCTATAGAGCTCTGTAGCACTTGCCCAAGCAGGGCAGAGATCAAGGCAAAGGGCTGAGGGATCAAGGGCCAGAGAGAGGCCTGCCTATGGGCACAGCTTAGAAGAGGCTGTCCTATTGAAGAACTGTATCCTGAGTCATTTCTGATCCTGAATTGTAACCTGTTAGTTCCCTAATAAACCCCATAATCGTGAGTAGTGTCTGTGAGTTCTGTGTGGCCATTGCAACAAATTATCAAACCCAGCAGAGAAGTAGAGTGCTGTGGGAGGGACAGCTGGTGTCAGACTTGGTAAAAATGTTGGAGAAAGCAAATACAGGAATCAGCCTTGGCTGTTGATGCTGCTGCTGATTTTCCTCCCTGCCTTGTGAAGTTAGACGAGGTGGTTGGATGACGCTGCTGCCATGTCATTTTTACAGAGACACACACCAGGGAGAGACTCACCAAGGAAGCAATTTGGGGCAGTAGCAGGGCTCACCTCATTTGCTTTCCTCCTTTCAGTATTGCCCTGTCTGTTATCCATTGTCTGAAAACAGTTGTTGCATATATTTTGTCCAGTTTTCTAGTTGTTGTAGTGGGAGGGCAATTCCCATAGTAGCTAACCCTTCATGGCCAGATGTAGAAGTCTCTCACTTACTTTTAATCTGTGTTTTCCTAATTATTGCCTTTTCCTCATTACACGTTTATTTGCTATTTAGGTTTCTTCTTCTATAAATTGCTTGTCTATATCCTTTAGCCTTTTTTCAATTATCTTTTCTTTCACCTATTGATTTGTAATTATTCTTATTCTTTATGTAATGTAGGTATGAACCTTTTGTTTAGTATCTTCTCCCAGTCTTTGTCGTGCCATTTCACCCTTCTTTTTTTACTTTTTTAACGGTGACTTTTTTACAGAAGCTTTAAATTTTAATGTAGCCAAATATATCAATTGTTTCATTTTTGTTTCTTGTCTATCTTATGTTGAGGTCCTAAAAATATTCTCTTGTGTTTGCTTCTAAAATTTTAAAGATTTTTTTCCCTTATTAAAAACATAACCAACCAGTTGCCATCGAGTTGATTCTGATTCATGGTGACCCCATGTGTACAGAGTAGAACTGTGCTTCGTAGGGTTTTCAAGGCTGTGACCTTTCAGAAGTAGATTACTAGGCCTTTTTTTTTTTTGAGGCTCCTCTGGGTGAGTTCGAACTGCCAACCTTTTGGTTAGCAGCTGAGTGCTTTAACCATTTTAAAAACGTATGAGTATCTAAGTCACAAGAAATTAATTGTTGTGAGTGATGTAAAAGTAAGAATCTGATTGTAATTCTTCTATATCATAACCAATTGTCTAAGCACCAAATGTTCAAGAGTTTACTATCTTCCTATGAGATGCAATGTCACCTCTGTCATATTTTAAGTTTCCTTACATGCATGGGCTGGTTTGGAGGCTCTATTTTGTTCCGTTGGTCTGTTTGTCTACTCCTGCACCAATCAAATGGGCTGGGGCATTAAAAACTCAAGCCCCTTTGTTACCAATAAATCCTCCAATGGTAGCACCATGTCATCTCTGATTCTTTCTTGCTTTAATTCTCTATTTTCTCTTTGGTTTTGGTCCCTGAAGAGTCTGCTTGTTTTATTGGGACTCGAGCTATTCATTTAACAGAATCAAAAAAAAAATTTTTTTTGTTCTGGATTTCTTGATATTTTAAGGGAAGGACTTTCGGGTTATCTAATCCACCATGCTGCCAGAAAGTAGTCCTACGAGGTTTCTAAAAGCAATTTCGTTTAACATTTATATCAATCATTCAATCCTTAAATGTACATAACTTAGTTTTAGAGTAGGACTAACTATAGTGTAAATAGTAAGGATTACTCAGAGACTGAGAGCAGTCAGATAGGGTAGATTTTTTTCAGAACATTATCTCCTCCTGTTTGTTTCACATGACAGCTTCGGGTTCTGTGGGTAGAATAACAATTTTTCATCTTTAGCTTTGAATTAAAGATTGTATTAAACAGAAACATAATGTCCCTTGAGGGTGAAGCCTGCATACAGCCTAATGTAATGGCTTACACGCAGTAGACGAACAATGCATTTTTCTTGAATCAAACTAGAATAGAATTTATTAATCTTACTTCACTGCAAAGTTGGGATTAAATTCTCCACCCTAAGTGCTGTGTTCCATAGTGAGAAAGGACAGGAGTAATCATGAGGAAGGACAAAATAGCTATGCGACATTGGGGGCTGGTCTCATCTAGGCTGTGACACAGATCTCGACATGTCTCTGAGAGTGCCTACCTATGCTCTTGTGTGAACCCGGGGAGGGGAAAGAAGTTAAAACCCTAGTATACAGTAATAGTATCCCTTTTGGGTGGCTAAAATGCCCTTCCTGAAGAAGTGAAACCCATAAAACCAGTTGCTGTTGAGTCGATTCTGACTCTTAGCGACCCTTTACGATAGAGTAGAACTGCCCCATAGGGTTTCGAAGGTTGTAAATCTCTACAGAAGCAGCTTGCCATGTTTTTCTCCCGTGGAGCAGCTGGTGGGTTCAAACAGCCAATCTTTTGGTAAGCAGACAAGCACTTAACCACTGCGCCACCAGGGCTCTGCCAAAGAAGTGAACAAACTTAAATTTTTGCTTAAAAATTTCAGATTTTATCGTATTAGTATTGTTTAGATTAAATGTTATTTAGTTATTTAATTATCATTACTTAATAATTTTATTGAATTATGATTCAATTATTATTAAGGAAAAGAAAATACTGGGGCCTGCTGATGTGTCCAGCCTCAAGCCTGGCAATATGAATCATACTTCAACTTGGCGCCTAGAGAGGTGCCTGTTAAGCACCCTTTGAATTTCTCATCCATTTCCTGGCTCTGAGTTTCACGGAACAAATTTTTCCAATCTCCAACTTCACCTATAATGCACAAAAAACAGTAGACTCAGACATCTATTAGAATATTTCTCCTTGAATTTACCATTTTTCAGTGCAATGTTTCACTTTGAAATGTGAAAATGGACACATGAAAAAAATTAGTCTTAGAAACTAATGTGATTTCTTTTGTGAAATCAACAGTATCCACTGGGGTTTCCCCATCTGTGGAGTAGCAAGTGATGTCCTTTCTATACACCTCATTCATTACAGGGCCTCGGCCACAATTATTTCCCACTCCCACCTCTCTCCCAATATCTGGGACCTAAAATTCCACTTCGTGAGAGTGGTTTTTTTCTCTAAAATCTTCTGCATACTTTAAATGCCTCATGAAAAGCTAACAGTTTACAGCAGGTTTTGGTTAAGACCTTAGATACTGAAAATTTTGCCACAAAAAAGATATTATATTATTTTGTATGAGATTAGGGATACAGTTCTTTTACTTGCTTTTAAAAGTAAAGGAAATTACTTCTTTCTAATCTTTTGATGATTTGAATTGAAGTTGTAAGTTTCTTGTTGCATAGACATTGAAATGAATGTTTAGAAAGAGGTTTTTAATGACAGGAGGAAATGTATATGATATTTTAAATAAATAAAATACAATACAAAATTGTTTACAAATGTTATCAACCATGTAAAAATATCACAGAATAAGGCTGGAAGAAATAGGCTGAAAAGTTAGAGATGCATCTGGGTGGGAAAATTATGGATAATTTTTTATGCTTTTTCATATTTTTCTGTGCTTTCCAAATTTTCTAAGGGGAGCATTATAAATTTTAAAAATTATTTCTTTATTTACTTTAGAATTTTTCTATTCTGAATAGCTCTTGATTAACAATATGTAGTAAGGTTCTATTTTTTCCCCTCCTAATAATGAAACAAAGCATAAAAATCAGGGTTAAAGTCAGGAATCAAACTAAAGCCAGATTTACATTCAATGTTTCACTCCGAGTGGCTTTTTAAAATGAGTCCTCATTTGGAAAAGTGTAGTAGACTCAAATAGAGCTAGGCCCAAATCCTGACTCCATCATGTATTAGCTGTGTGACTATGAACAAATTAATATCCCTGAGCTTTGCTTTCAAGATTTGTAAAAATATGATTTAATATCTTCTTTGTTGTAAAAGTTAAGCCCAGGAAAGTGTCTTCTAATACATGTTAGACTCCCGATAAATGACAGCTGTTGTCGCCATTGTTGTTATATGAATTGCCTCTAAATCTCGTTATTCCTTCATTAGATACATAATAACAAATAAGACTGGCAGTCTCTAAGCTATATTACCATAAACTTCCGTAAGAAATTAGAATGCTTTAATAATACTTAGTAAACTCGTCTGTGTCAGAGACAGCTACCTGCTTATCCAATACTCATTTTTTCCTTCTTCCTTATTAACAAAGCCCTGATTTTAATTGGGGAGTAACATACTCAACTTTAAAAAAAAATTACATTTTCCAGCCGCCACTGCAGCAAGAAGTGGTAAGAAGGCACTGCGAGAGGCTGAGTGAGGCTTTCAGTGATGCTTTTGAAGGGGGGCTTGCTCGGCTCATACACATGATTCTGCTCCTTGCCTGTTCTCTTTTTCCTGCTTGGAATTTGAATGTCATGGTGGAGCTCCAACCGCTATCTTGTCACCATAAGGTGACAAGCAGAAAGGTAGAAGTAACCTAGGACCCGCTTATGGATTGAATTGTGTCCCCCCAAAATGTATGTCAACTTGGCTAGGCCATGATTCCCAGTATTGTGTGATTGTCCTCCATTTTGTTATGTGATGTGATTTTCCTATGTGTTGTAAGTGCCACCTCTGTGATGTTAATGAGACAGGACTCAATCTACAAGATTAAATTGTACCTTGAGTCAATCTTTTCTGAGATATAAAAGACAGAAACCAGCAGAGAGACAAGGGGACTTCATACCACCAAGAAAGCAGAGCCACAATTGACATAACACAGTTTATAAAGAAAATGTTCTACATTCTACTTTGGTGAGTAGTGTCTGGGGTCTTAAAAGCTTGTGAGCAGCCGTATAAGATATTCTACTGGTCTCACTCCTTCTGGAGCGAGGGAGAATGAAGAAAACCAAAGACACAAGGGAAAGATTAGTCCAAAGGACTAATGGACCACAACTACCAGAGCCTCCACCAGACAGAGTTCAGTACAGCTAGATGGTGCCTGGCTACCACCATTGACTGCTCTGACAGGGATCACAATAGAGTGTCCCGGACAGAGCTGGAGAAAATGTAGAACAAAGTTCTAACTCACAAAAAAAGACCAGACTTACTGGCCTGACAAGAGACTGGAGAAAACCTGAGAGTATGGCGCCTGCCTTTTAGATCAGTAATGAAGTCACTCTTGAGGTTCACCCTTCAACCAAATATTAGACAGGTCTATAAAACAAAATGAGAATAAAGTGGCACACCAGCCCAGGGGCAAGGACTAGAAGGCAGGAGGGGACAGGAAAGCTGGTAATAGGGAACCCAGGTTCTAGAAGGGAGAGTGTTGACATATTGTGGGTTTGTTAACCAATGTCACAAAACAATATGTGTACTGATTGTTTAATAAGAAGCTAATTTGTTCTGTAAACATTCACCTAAAGTACAGTAATTAAAGAAAAGAAAGTAGAGCCAGGAGCTCATGTCCTTTGGACCCAGGGTCCCTGCACTGAGAAGCTCCTAGAGCAGGGGAAAGTTGATGACAAGGACCTTGCCCCAGAACCGACAGAGAGAGAAAGCCTTTCCTTGGAGCTGAAACCCTGCTTTCGGACTTCTAACCTCCTAGACTGTGAGAGAACAAATTTCTGTTTATTAAAGCCATCCACTTGTGGTATTTCTGTTGTAACAACACTAGATAACTAAGACAGAACCTAAAAGATAATGTGGAGCCGTCAACTCTACCTTGAAACTGCCTATGTCCAGACTTCTCTTTGGGGAAGAGATAAAGCCCTGTCTTGTTTAAGCCAGCGTTATTTGGATTGTCTATTGTGTGCTGACAAAATCATTCTCTAATTGATTCCATATCCCAGAAACCAATGAAATTTTACCTTTGCAGAACAGGAATGGGCCAACAGCACCGTGTGTTTCCTGAGACCTTGCCTGCATTGCTTGGAAGGTGCTCTGGGCAGAGATAGTTTCTATTTGCTCCACAGTTAGAGAGAACCCAAAGAACTCAGCAATTTCTTTTACTCCAAAGGCCAAATTCTGGAAACAAAATTTTGAAGGATAAACTTCTTTCTGTGGGATTTGTGCTCCGAGCAAAGACAGACTTTTTACACAGAATATATTAATGCATCAAGTCTAACTTCCTATCTAGTCTGTCTGTTTTTCTGCCTTTTTAGATTTACTTTGATACTTCAGTATAGATATTTGGGTGATCTCTTTAAGACACTGTATTAGTTTTATTTTGTAGTTTCAATTTATGACTCTGAAGTGCTAGATAATACTATTCAAGATATAAATGACAGTAAGCATAGTTAGTAGGTTAGAACTTTATCTAGGATGATACTCATCTTATTAAAAAGCACTTGAGCTGAGGAAATATATTCATATGTATTCATTCAAATTCTCTTTTCTTATGAATTCTATTTATAGTTAATGTTGAAATCCATCAAAAAAGTCTATTTTTTAGAATCGTAAACACTAGAAAGAAACTTGAAATTTATCTTGCCTAACTACCTTTGTAAATGATGAACCCCAAACTGTATCTCTGACCAGTGGAGATTCATGCACCTTCTTGAACAGTTTCTTAAACTATATTCTACAAAACACTAGTACACCACAAGATGGTTATAGATGTTTCATGAAAAGGAGGGAGAGGTGAGGTCAGATATGTTTGGAGTTCTCTGGGTTAAACAAAATTATGGCTTTTTGCTTTTTTTGTTTTTAATTTGTTTGCTTTTTGCTACAGGACGTCTCAGAACATTTAATGTGCCAATGCACAATGCAAATCTCCAAAGAAGGCTGTATAATACAGCAGTTCCCTAATCTATCTGAGCAAGCAACCTCTGTATTCTATGGAGCACAAGTTTTAGAAAAACTATTCTAGACTAGAGGGGAAAAAGACTAAATTAGTATCTTTTTTCATGTTATATAAATACACCCTATAAGCAGAAGGAGTGGATTAAATTACATTTTTCTTGAATTTGTTATGGGAGACTGGCGTTAAAAACTCAGTTAAGTTAGGAACATTTATCACACTCTCTCCTCTTTAACATACTTTCTTCACTGGGTTCCAGAATACTGGTTTCTCTCCTACCTCAATGGCTACTCCTTCATAGTCTCTTTTGCTGATTCCTCCTCTTTTTCCCAAACTCTTTATATTGGAGGACTACAGGGCTTAGTTCTTGGTTCTCTTCTTCCCTACCTATCTACTACATACCTAAGGATTCAATCACATAGCTTTAAACACCATGTAGGTGCCAATGATTCCCAAATTTATATCAACAACCCAGAACTTTCTTTGCATTCAAAGTTTTTTTACCCAATGCCTACTTTACCTCTTCATTAAGATGACTAATTAACTCAGACTTAATGTGTCCAAAACCAAACCCCTGGTCCTCCCTGCAATCCTGCTTCACCTGCTGCCTTCTCCTATCCTGATGATATACCAACTCAGCCCTTCCAGTTGGCTAAGCCAATAATTTTAGAGTCTTATTTAATGTCACTCTTTCTCTCACTATCCCACATCCAATCCAGCAACAAGCAATGCTATTGGCTCTTCCTCCAACATACATCCAGAATTCAGCCACTTCCCATCACCTCCACTGCCACTCATGGTCTGTTCATCCTGGACCACTGCAATAGTCTCTTCACAGATGTCCCTGCATTGTCTTTGCCCTTCTCCAAACTATTCTCACACACCAGCCAGAATGACCCTATTAAAAATACAACATCTCCTATCACTCCTCTGCTCAAATCCTACAATGCTTCCTATTTCACTCAGAATAAAAGCCAGAGTTATTTCAATGGCCCGCTGTGCCATTCCTCATCCTCCACCCCAACTTCTTACCTCTCTTCTCACTGTCTATTTTCCCCCAGATCAGCCCCACTGGCCAGCCACATCTACCTCTTTACTGTTCCTTAATCACACCAGGCACACTCCTACCTCAGGATTAGGTGATTCCCGATGCCTGGAATGCTCTCCACCCAGTTACCTACTTGGTTCATGCCCTCACCTCCTTCAGGCTTTTGCTCAAATTGCGTCTCCTCAGTGAGGCCGCCTCTGATCACTCTATTTTATACTAGAACTTGTCCAGCACTCCTACCCTCAAGCCTTGGCATTTCTAAATTTCCTTAACCAGTTCTGCTGGCTTTCCCACCACATACTATATATATATTTTATTAATTATGTTTATTATTTATCATTCTATCTCTCTTCCTTCTAAAGCTAGAATGTAAGCTTCTCCAGGGCAGGGAACTTTGTCTAATCTGTTTATTGATATATTACAAGGGCCTAGAACAAGGCTAAGCAATCACTCAATGAATATTTGTTAAATGATCAAAGTTTAAAAAAAAAACATGACATGGAAAAATCAATTCACAACTAAATGCATGTTCAATTAAACTCAATTGAGACCTATCTGTTATTTTTCCATTATTAATAAGGACTATCCATCATAAAAGGAAAATAAGGCAGCCACTGTTAGTAATAAGTTGGTAACCATTATTTAATTTCTGTTATATAAACAACCTAAGCACTTAAATGTTTGATTTGTTTCTAGCACTGTACCACATATATGGAATCGTCTTTTTTAAAAATTGAACACAATATTTGTTCATACAGCCAGACGTTATAACTAAGTGCTCTATGTTGTAGTTTATAATAAATCTTGCTCTAGAATATCAATAAAAATAATCTTACCTCTTTCGGGTCTTCATATAACATGAACTTAACATTTGCATCATCACTATGTTTGTTCCGATTAATTGCAAAATCAAAATACCTTCCCCAAGAAACTAAAAATGCAAGGGGGAAAAAACTCCTTAAGAAATTTTAAATAAATTGAGGATAAAATGAAAGATGGTTAGTTCATACTCTAAAATACAAACTATACATATATCTATATGCTCCAGTAAGATGTAAGTTATTACAAACCCCTTTCCTCAAAGAGCTGGCATAAACCAGTCTCACTGTCAAATTTCTATCCATTTTTTATCTTTTTGAGCATTTTCCATAAATAACAGCACATTAAAGACGTTGTAAAAATGAGTCGATGAAAACTATAAGACATTCATGAATCTGTAGGAGAATTAAATAATTCAGAAATAATGAATGATAATGAATATAAGAGAGCTAATACCAGAAAGAAAGAAATGATAAGACAGGTGTTATTTAGACCAGTACTGTCCAATAGAAATGTAATGTGAGCCACATATGTAATTTTTTTTTTTTTACTGTACTTCAGGTGAAGGTTTACAGAACAAATAGTTTCTCATTAAACAGTAGTACACATACTATTTTATGACATTGGTTAACAACCCCACGACATGTCAACCCTCTCCCTTCTCGACCTTTTTTTTTGGTGAAAATATACATAGCCAAAGATACACCATTTCAAAAATTTCTACATGCACAGTTCAGTGACATCGACTAAGTTCTTCCAATTAAGCTGCTCTTCTCACTTTAGATGAAGGCGTACAGAACAAAATAGTTTCTCATTGAACAGTTAGTACACAAGTTGCCCTGTGACAATGGTTAACAACCCCACTACACATAAACACTGTCCTTACTCAACCTTGGGTTCCCTATCACCAGCTTTCCTGTCCCTTCTGCGTTCTAGCCCTTGTCCATGGACTGCTGTGCCTCGTGAGTCCTGTTTTGTTTCTTGGGGCTGTCCAATCCTCGGCTGAATGGTCACATACATAATTTTAAATTTTCTAATAGCCACATTAAAAAAGGAAGATAAACAGGTGAAATAATTATAGTATTATGTTTTTTAACCCAATATATCAAAAAATATTATCATTTCAACATGTAATCAATATAAAAAGTTATTGAGGAAACATTGTACATTCCTTTTTCATTCTAAGTCTTTGAAACCTAGTGTATATTTTACACTTACACATTATCTCATTTTGGATGCTAATTTTTTATCAGAAATACTTGATATGTATTTAGATTTCATAAAACTTTAGAGTTGAAAAAATAGATTCATACATCCAACTTATTCCAAACTCATTTAAAAGTTTTCCAATAACTGAATTGAGGATCCTTTTAAAAAATTAAAATTAAAATAAATAAAATTAAAAATTCAGCTCCTCCATTGTAATAGTCACATTTCAAGTGTGAAATTGCCACATATGGCTAGTGCTACCATATTGGACAGTGTAGACATAGACATTGATTAGCTTTCCTGCTTATTAGCTATTTGATTTTGAGCAGCTTCCTTAACCTCTCTGTACCTTAGTTTCCTCACCTGTAAAACGGAGCTATTATGAAGATAACCTGTCACCTGCTTAAATCATTACTTGGCTCATAATAACTGCTCAATAAACGTTAGCCATTATTATTATATACTCTCTCCTCGCTTACCAACTGTCTCATTATCTGACATTATGCATTTATGACAATAGTAAAAAATCTATCTGACTATTTTGCACATTAATGATGTACATCTGGCAGTAACGAATGCTGAAGTGCGGGGTGAGAGTAAAGCTGGCTGCGATGGTTAAGGTAATGTGTCAACTTGGCTGGGCCATGATTCTCAGTGGTTTGGCAGTTATGTAATGATGTAATTTGGCAGGTATGTAATGATGTAGTCATCTTCCATTTTGTAATCTGATGTGGTCATCCTCCATTTTCACATAATGCCAATTTTGGCATAAGGACCTGATCTTTGGAACCTAACCATGTCAATAAGTGAGGAGAGGGTGTATTATCATTATCATGAAGCACTTGCTGTGAACCAGGTAGTTTCTAAGTGTTTTATTTGTTGTGACAAGTACTATAAACTGCCTACCTAATATCCAGTATGCTAACCAAACTCTGATTATTTGAGTATAAGCCAATCATGAGAATTCCATTTCCTTCTTTTCTGCCTCTATTAGAGCTGAGGTTGGTCACATGGCACACTTCTGGCCAGTGAGACACAAGCAGGAGTCTGCTGAAAGGTTCCTGGCAAAAGTTGTTTTCTGGAGATAAGGGACACTCTCACCTGGTGCTACCCTTCTTCCTTCTTCCTGACCTGAAGGTAATTCTTGGAGCCAGAGGACCAACGAATGGCTCTGACATCACTGGGCTGCTGAACCAGTAGCCTACCTTCAGACTTCTTGTTAAGTGAGAAAAACATAACCCTATCTATTTAGGCCGCTGTGGTCAGGTTTTCTGCTCTTCCAAATGCACTATTAACCTATACACATACTTTTTATCCTTCAATTCTTAAAGCAACCCTATAGATAGGTACAATTATTATGGCCATTTTGTAGATGGGGAAACAGAGGCCCAGAGAAGTTAAGTAAACACTTCAAGGTCACACTGTTAGTAAGTTAGGGGCATTGCCATCATCCAAAGTCAATCTGACACTAGAGCTACTGCTGCCAAACATAATGCTATACTGTCTTACCTCCTGTAGGTTGTATATTATTATCTCCACTTTACAGTAAGGAAACCAAAGTTGAGAGAGATCAAGTGTTTTCCTCAAAATCACACAGGCAGTAAGTGATTTGAACCTGGGTTTAAGTTCTAGCTTTGCGGCTTAATGGCTTTGTGACCTCTCTATGCCTCTATTTCCTTCTCTTTAAAATGAGGCTAATAATAACATTGTCCTCATAGGGGTCTTGTAAGAATTAAAATGAGATAATGTATGTTAGGGGCAGTATGCAGTACCTGGCATGAAGTATCTGCTCAATAAGTGGTAGCTATTTTATTTTATCTAATATTTATTAAGATGTAACAGTAAGTTGCTATGAGTTGGAATCGACTCAATGGCAACAGGTGTAATAATAACTAATGAAGCCCAATCCAGGCTTTTTCATTCCAAATCCTATGTATTTTCCAGTACATTCAGCTACCTCTATAAATTGAATTTAAGAAATTTGCATGGTGGGAACTCCATCCAAGTTATCACTCCTGCATCTTACCATTGTCAATCAAATAATTAGGCTAAAAGGATGGAGAGGGTGATAAAGATTCCTTAAAATAGATTGTCCCAATGGCAACAAGTTTCTTATTATTGACTATTCATGAGCAATGTTTTGGACTTGCTCTAACTATATCTCATCTTAGTGAGGTGTTACTAGACAAAACAAAGCTTTCTTAATGGTGTTTGGTACCATTTGTGTGCTTCCTTTTCTCCTACACCCCAGTCCCAATATTTAATCTTTGCTAAGGAGGTAGTTTAAGAGCTTGGCCGCTAGCCTAAAGATCAGCAGTTCGAATCTACCAGTCGCTCCTTGGAACCGTATGGGGCAGTTCTAATCTACACTGTAGGCTCACTATGAGTCAGAATCGACTTGATGGCAATGGGTTTGGTTTTGGGGTTGGTAAGAAGACAGTGCTGCACCCAGCCTCTGTGCAGGTGGGATGGTATGGCATTGCTGTGCTGATCACCTTTAAAGGTGGTCCTGTTAAAGTGACCTGGCAACAACTTCTTTAGGGTCACCAGGCATTAATTCTTCCTTTTGTTACACTGTAAAAATTCAGCAAAGCCACTAATAAAAAGAGGTGTACATTAGTCTCTGGCCACCTCACCCATAGAGTTAGAGTCAAAGCCATTTACAAGCTGTGGGAACTTTGGCAAGTGATTTAACTTTTCTGATTAGTTTCCTCATCTGTACAATGGACTAATACTGCCTTACTCATAGTTTGTTATGAGTCTTAAATAAAATCATGTGCATGGAACTCCTAGTTTAAAATAGTAGTTATTAATTACCAGAGGTAAAACTTCCTCATAGTCTAACAAAAAAAACTTGTTTTCTTTCTGACAAACAAATGTCATAGGTGTAGTTGCACAGTGTCATGGTTTTGTGGTTGTTTGTTTGTATTTTTTGTTTGTTTTTTGTTCCTACATTGTGTTCTGTAGAGACTTAAGGGAAAATAATTAGAAATGGTTTCCTTTGTTATAAGCCTGTTTGTCCCATGTCTGTTCTATGGACACTAAATACTCATAATCAACATATGAATTATATAAATTATTTTTAAAACCAGTAATGCATTTTAATTGTTTGATGTGTGGAAGTAGTGGTGGTATAAAACTCCATTTAAATGTGATTTTTTGGTCCTTGAATACCTAAATCTTATTTTTTTCTTTACCAAAAACACGTTTGAATTTTCATATTTGTTTGGTCATCTGTTGACATAAGAAGAATTTTTTTTTTTTACCATCAGCCATACCTTGTCCGTTCATGAACTGTCCAAAGAATTCATCCCAAGAGCCATAGCTTGGAATATCAGGCACATCATTGTGGAAATGGAAAAAAGATACTGCGGTATCTTTAGGGTTTCGAAATAACACCAATATCTAAGGAGAAAAAACTAATTCAATTTATTTAGGTTTATGTTTTGAACTTTGAAAAAGTGAAAGGGTGAGCAATATTATTATGTCCTGGCCTATATTACATAATTTTGTTAATACATAGGGAAAGGATGACAGTAAGAAATGAAGAATCAGGAGGTGGCAGATGGGGAAGTCTGAGGATAGTAAGAAAGAAGAAGAAGGAAAAGAAGATGGATATTGCAGCCTAGGAGTTTTACTAATGAGTTTACATGGTAAAAAGTCATGTATAGAAGACTTAAAGAAAAAAAGAAAAGAACAAACTCACTAGAATAGCCACAAGAGCATGATCTGCAAGGCTAAACCACCAAGTAGAGTAAAATTTACAAAATAACGTTAAGGATAACAAAAATAATCCTTAGATTTTGGTGAGAAAAGATCAAAGATTGGCAAAGTTCAGTCTTTGGAGTCTGAAGCAGTATATTTATGGGTGATGTAAAAACCGAAAAACCAAACCCATTGCCATTGAGTCGATTCCAACTCATAGTGACCATATAGGACAGAGTAGAACCGCTTTATAAGGTTTCCAAAGAGCAGCTGCAGGATTTGAACCCACTGACCTTTTGGTTAGCAGCCAAGCTCTTAACCACTGTGCCACCAGGGCCCTAAGGGTGAGGTAGACAGGGGCAAATTAAATAGTAAGCAAGGCACATACAGGCTTACTTCTGTTTACTTACTAATCTGTAGTACACAATTTCACAAAAATGTGGTGAAAAATAGGTGAAATTGTGTACTACAGGTTAGTAAGTAAGCACAGGTAAGCTGGTGCATACCTTGCTTATTGGGTAATCCATTCTTGGATGTAGATGAAGTAGATGCTATGAATTTCCATGTTATGTCTGTCTTCTCTGATAAGGAAAGTGTGAAATAAACATTGTAAAGAGCAAACCAAAACCCAGGAAAACCAAGGGGTTGTAGGAGACCACTGGCTGCTCCAAATGAGTTTAGACTTTCTGACCTATGATCTGCATTTCATGAACTGAGAAAATTGGAGAACATGTTATTAAGTGCTGTTAGTGAGTGACATCTGAGGAATCTGAGAGAACACTTGACAGGTCAGAAGACTAGAAACAGAAATTATTTTACTTTCAGAAAGGGGAAAGAGAAAGATGTGGATTTTGCAAAATACAGATTTGTGATTCTGGCATCCATTTGGGAGAAGCTTGAGGAAATAACTAAAATAGATGATTTGAGGCCACATAAAAGAGGAAGCAGCAACCACTAGGGGGCAACATGGCTCCCCTAAGAACAAGTCGCAGCTGACTAACAACAGGTCTCTCTTGGACATGGTTTCTAGATTAGTAGATTAAGTTGCTTATGATTTCTTGAGCAAAAATGGGAGAATGTAAGCTAGAAGCAGGAGCAATTAGACATTTAAAGTGAAAGAATGCTAAATAATTTATGTAAACCTGCCTGGAGATTTTTAACACCTTTCCTCTGTTCTGGCTGGACCATAGTTAACAGTTTAGAAAGTGATTTAAGTAAAGGTATAAAAGCTACAGTTATCAAATTTGTAGATGACATGGAACTAGGAGGGAAGAACTGGAATCTCAAAACACCTTGACAGTCAAAAGAAATGAGCTGACAGGATAAAACTGAATAGCATTAAATGTTTTTGGCGGGGGGGTTGATTTCTTAGACTAAGATCTAAAATCACCAACATCCTCCCATCTAAATATAGTAGATTCTTGGTATTTTATTTTATATTTCAGTTTATATTTGAGGCTTTGATTACTATTCACTAGTCACCCTGGCTTGCTGCAATTTATAATTTTACAAAGATATAAATTTGAATTGTAGAGGCCAAGACACTGGTGTGTGGATGAATTCCCAGAATCAATCTCTTACCTTGGCTCTGTTGCTCTTCTCTTGCCCTTGTATTGTCACAAAAGCATGTCATAAGCACCTGCAGGGTCTGTTCAGAAGCCTACCTGCTCCAAATCCAAATGCTTTGTAAGTTACGTCAGCCCTGCTGCTTACAGAATCATTAAGGGAAAATAAGTCACCTAGAATTTATGATTACATTTAACTGCATTTAACAGGGGAAATTATGTTACCATGGTATTTCCAATTTTGGAAATTCTCAACTGTGTCAGAATAAGGAAACACTGTTTAACAGAGCCGTCCAAAGCTGGCATAGAAGTGGAGGGGTTCCCTTGTAATTGGAGGTGCTCAGTTATAGTTCAGACAGCCACTTAGTGAAATTCAAATAGCTAATGGGGAATAGCTAGACACCCTTTAAGGTGTTTTCTAATTCTAAATGCATAGAATTCTTGTGTCATGGTCACAAGACAGTTAATTCGAAGCTTCACTTCCCTAGTGGTTTCTTCCTTGCCTCTCCCTTTGTTTCCCCCTCTGCCTGTTACCACTGTAGTTATCTTAACTGTTTTCCACTTTCTTTGCTATTACTTTGTTATCCGTAGAACTAACTAACGGGTCTGGTTTTGTTTTTTCCCTCCCATTCTGCTTTGTAGCACTGAAGTCTTTAAGGATTGATTTTAATTTCTTCTAATCCTTTTCTCCTGAAAGAGAAAAGAGGCACCAAGAAATAAAAAATGGGGGGGAGAACAAACGAAAACCAAACCCGTTGCCGTCAAATCTATGTCAACTCATAGCGACCTTGTAGGACAGAGTAGAACGGCCCCATAAGGGCTTCCAAGGCTGTATGTCTTTACGGACACAGATTGACACACTTTCTCCGGTGGAGAAGAGACCAGGTGACAGAAAACAAAAAGGACTGGGTAAAAACTAGTAACTATGGGAAATATACCAGTACGGACTAATGACACAAGATTTTTAAGCAAATGGTAATAGCCAAAGCACCTATAGTTATGTTGCATGACATAAAATTTGATATTACGTGTAAAATTCAAAATAAAATAGTTTCAGACTTCAGGTAGTGATCTCCAGAAACAGCCAAAGGAATAATGTTTGCTCATGTTAGCAGGTAATATTCTTTTGTGAAACTCTGTAAGTATCCTAGTGATTCTGGAATGTATTCACTATAATAGGTTGTAAAAGATGTTTTACTCTATGTATGTTTTATATCTTAGTTGGAAATGCTTTTGACTGGAATGAAACTATAACAAATATATCTGAAGAAAGAAATAACAACAACGAGCCAAACCAAACCAAACTCATTGCTGTTGAGTCGATTCCAACTCATAGCGACCCTATAGGACAAAGTAGAATTGCCCCATAGAGTTTCTAAGGAGTGGCTGGTGGATTTGAATTGTCAACCTCTTGGTTAGCAGGCCAGCTCTTAACCACTGTGCCACCAGGGCTCCAACAACAACAAAAGAAATACTAAATTCCACACATCATTAAAATTCTACCATAAAATGCAGACAGCCAATATGTATCCATAAAAATTTCAGATTGAAATACCAGTAGGAAGAGACACTCACCTAGGCATTATTCTTGAAGATGGATCCAGGTAGTTTGTCATAATGGTGGTGAGTTGCCAAAATCCTTGGTGATGGAAACTGTTTCATTCTCTTAAAAATATACACAGTAAAGTGAAAGTATATATACCGTATTTTTAAGCAAATAATGTGCACTTTCTGTGTTAGTTTGCCAACTGTGCCCTCCTCCCCACCAAGGTATTTTTGTAAGTGCTGCTATGCTAATCTTTTTACTTGTTGCTGTAAAAAAATTAGCACAGTGTGCTTACAAAAATACCTTGAGGGAGGGCGTGGTTGGCAAACAAACATAGAAGATACGCATTATTTACGTAAAAATACAGTAGATATAAACCAGTTGCTATGGAGTTGACTCCAGCTCATGGCTACCTCATGTGTGTCAGACTAGAACTGTGCTTCATAGGGTTTTCAATGGCTGTGATGTTTTGGAAGCAGATCGCCAGGGCTTTCTTCTTCTTTTTTTTTAAATTGTACTTTAGATGAAGGTTTACAGAGCAAATTAGTTTCTCATTAAACAGTTAGTACACATATTGTTTTATGACATTGGTTAACAACTCCATGACATGTCAACACTCTCCCTTCTTGACCTTGGGTTCCCTATTACCAACTTTCCTGTCCCCTCCTGCCTTCTAGTCCTTGCCCCCGGGTTGGTGTGCCCCTTTAGTCTTGTTTTGTTTTATGGACCTGTCTAATCTTTGGCTGAAGGGTGAACCTCAGGAGTGACTTCATTACTAAGCTGAAAAGATGGCCGGGGACTATACACTCAGGTTTCCTCCAGTCTCTGTTGGGCTAGTAAGTCTGGTCTTTTTTTGTGAGTTAGAATTTTATTCTACATTTTTCTGCAGCTCTGTCCAGGACCCTCTATTGTGATTCCTGCCAGACCAGTCTGTGGTGGTAGCCGGGCACCATCTAGTGGTACTGGACTCAGTCTAGTGGAGGCCGTGGTAGATGTAGTCCGTTAGTCCTTTGGACTAATTTTTCCCTTGTATCTTTACTTTTCTTCATTCTTCCTTGCTCCCAAAGGGATGAGACCAGTGGAGTGTCTTAGATGGCCACTCATAGGCTTTTAAGACCCCAGATGCTACTCATCAAAGTAGAATGTACATTTTCTTTATAAACTGTGTTATGCCAATTGAGCTAGATGTTTCCTGAAACCATGGTCCCCACAGCCCTCCGCTCAGCAATTCGGTCCCTCAGAGAGTCTGGATGTGTCTATGGAGCTTCCATGACCGTGGCCAGGCCTTTCTTCTGATGTGCCGCCGGGTGGACTTGAACTTCCAACCTTTTGGTTGACAGTCAAGCACATTAGACTTTTCCACCACTCAGAGACTCCCTATACGTAGATATAGATATACAGATACATAAAATTGCTCCTTAGCTTGGTATGTCAATAGTAGTTTCAAACATTGCTGTGTTTTCTCTTTCTCCAATTTTTCTTTACTTATACTTTCTTTATATTATTGGGATGAGGAATGGAGAATCATAAATAAACAAATAATTAAAATCTTTCTCTTGAACTCGTTTGTTGGATCCTGCTTACCATTTCCCAATCTTTATTGTTATTTTTTGAAAAATATACCTTTCCCCATAATCATCAAAGACAAATCGTCTTTTGTCTAAGACAACTCATAATCTGCAATTCATGCTTTCAGTTAATTTGGATCTCTTATATATTCAATGTCTTTAATAGAAATAGTTGTCTTTCCATAGTTCCTACAAATTCATCTTTAGATCTTTTTTTTTTTTTAACCAATGAAAACTCCATGCAATCAAATGTCCCAGTGGAATCCGGAAGTCCAGAGAATCACTTAAATATCTGAGAAATATTTTATGAAAGAAATTCTCATCAATATAAAGACTCAGTGATTGATTCTTTTCTGTAAACTATTTCTACTGATAAATTAAAAAGTGAAATTATTTATTTAATCTACCAGGGTAAGAGTTTTACCTTAAAATTGGACTTTTAGTACATGTTATGCAAGGGGCTAAGGCTTCAAGTTTTCAGCTCCACCCTTGTGGAGATCAATGCTTGGCCACTTGGCTATAAAATACCTATTCATTTCAAGCCATAAAATGATATTTAGAAATTTACAGTTAATTGTTCTTTAAAAACTTAGCAGAAATCCCAACTCAAGCAAAGGGACAAAAAAGTAGATTTAAAAAATAAAAAGTAGTTTAAATCAATGATATGGGTCCAAATGGTGATTAGTAGTAATAATATCTGATTTATATCAAATTGTACTTTTTAGTTTTTGAAGCACTTTTACATCCATTCACAACAATCCTCTTGGGTAGATACTATAACTCTCATTTTAGAGATTAGGAAAGAGGTTTTGAGGTTTTAAGCGTGTTGTCCAAAATCACACAGGTGGTAATTTTCAGATTAAGTTTTAGAGTGCTCTTTCCACTAAACTTTACTGCCAAAAATCACATAAGGACATACGAGAAGAGGTAAAGTTCATGAAAGAATTAGAAAAATATTCAGTGGGGTAATGGAAGTTAACTGTAACAAAACTTGATAAACATATAATACTAGCTTGTGAAAATGGATGATACAGCCAAACTGTAATCAATGCAAAGGCTGTTTTTGTTGTTAGCTGCTGTCAAGTCAATTCCAACTCATGGTGACCCCATGTGTGCTGAGTAGAACTGCTCCATAGGGTTTTCAAGGCTGTGACCTTTCAGAAGCAGATCGCCAGATGTGTCTTCTGAGGCGTCTCTGTCTGCGTGAGTTCGAACTGCCAGCCTTTCTATTAGTAGTTGAACGAGGTATATCTTGTTTAAGGAAACACATGCATTCTAGAAAAGCTTTCTGTAAAGTGAGTAACTGTTAAGCAAATCACATTTTCTCACTGATTTCCTTTTAAAATAAAAGGCACATTGCAAGTGTCTTTGCTCCTAGATATAATGACATTACACTGAAAAATTTTTAAAAAGTCTATAAGAATAATATCTAAAGAAAAAACATTTCTGAAAATTATGGACATCAAAAAAAATTCAAAACTCAATATATTGTTCTGAGTTAAAACATTTTTCAGAAACCCTGGAACTAGAATCCTTTCCCTCACTCACCTTCCACTACATATTAATGTTAATTTGATGCTTTTAGAAATCTTATGTGGCTTTAAAAATCATCTGGACCTTTTTGCAAAGTGAGAATTCCTTTAACAGGAAGGAAAACTTTGAATTTCATAATTAGAGCTAACACTTAGAATGCAAGGACCTGGAGACAGAAGCAAGGCTTTGCTTTACATTCCCACTAAAGTATTTGTTGAAGGAGAAAGAACCCTGGATGTGAACAGGAATACTAGGCTTTCTGTGAGAAGAAAGGAGAGGACCTACGGGTATTGGGTGCCAAAGCTCAGGGCTGAGTACTGGCATGTCAAAATCTTGATTAGGAATAAAAGCTCTTCTCAGGGTAGTAAGTAAGCAACAGCACAGGAAGTTCCCACTCGTGTTCCAAAGTGTTGTTTGAAATCAGTTGTTTGGAAATTAAAATCAACATTCCTGGAGACAAACACTATAAATCATGTAAAATTGTACAAGCCAGTCTACCAAATCCTATTTCAGTCATCAGAGAAACCTGTTTATTTCAATAATAGGTAATAACACAGTCACATACAATAATAGCAGTTGCATTGGTATGGGGAGAATGACCTATGACCCACTATGTAAGATGTTTTTAAAAGGGAAATTGGAAAGCTGGACAAATGTCAACATCGTTTTAAATGTAATGTTAAACACTGTCTTTATGGAAAAGGTTATACAATAGCCTTGATAGGAGAAGTTAACGGGGCTTTCGTCGGTCCATCCATTTCTTACCTAGGGAAGTTTCTTAAAGCTTGTTCACTCATTCTCCCCACATCGCTGAGCCAGACCTGACTGAGCCTCCATTTGGTGATTTAGTACAGCTGACCTTCCAGGCCTGGGACCTAGAGGGCCAACATAGCTGCTGTCCTCTCTGATGCCTCCTGAGGTTCCTTTGCTGCCAACCACATCCAGGATTGGGCAGTTATCTCCCCACTGCAGCCCCCAAATCCCTGGACACTTCAGGTACAATATATTTTTTTGCTACATTGATCCAGTCCATGGAAATGGCTTCCTTCTACCTATGTTCCAACTTTCAAATTGGATTGGACATGTGCCAGAGTATTTCAGTTGTTTTCCAGAAGCCCCTCAAGTCCCAATCCAGTGGGTTTATTCTTAGCAATGGGCTTTGTCTGCCTGTTGGGAATCCTGGTGGTGAGACCTGTTCTGTATGTTACTGAAAATGGTTCCCTTGGATCCAGACTTCCCTTTCCAACTGCATTTCCCCTTTCCTGCCTTCCCTGGGCAGGGAGTAGAATGTCATGTCTCACACCAAAGTCATATCCTTCACACACATCAGGGACCTTGCTTTCTCAGCTACTGCTTGATCCTTCCTAATCTCTCTCCTTTCTCTCTCTCTCTCATACACACACACACACACACACACACACACACCCCAGAGTCATAACTGAGACAGGGAAATCAAATAAACAGTAAGGCCTTATTAGGAAAAGATTGGAGACTGCTGACATAAACTAAGGTCAAAATCTTCTAGGCCTTAGAGTAACCTTCCTGCTAGAATCCTGCCCATGTCTGTCTTCAGACATAAAACTTTTTCTGGTTTTAGTTCATTTCCTGAGGTTTCTTAGTTTACTCTGCACTCCTCCTCCTCCCACCCCCCTGCTTTTTAAAGCAGACTGTACAGTGTGGTGGCTAAGAGCTCAAACTTTTAAGTCAGAAAACTTGGCTTCAGTGTGATTGGCCATCACTTGCCTATGGAGGTCCCACAGACACTGGCTCTGATCTCCTCGCCTGTCCCACCTCAGTCTTTTGAAGTTTGTAGCATGTGTACACGTTATCTGATCGCACAATAAATAACAGTTTTAAAAGCAGAAAACGAAAAGAAAGAAAAAGAAAATTTGGGTTCAAATTTTGGCTCTATTTTTAACACAAACGGTTAAGTGCTTGACTACTAACTGAAAATCCACCCAGAGGTGCCTCAGAAGAAAGGCCTAGTGATCTGCTTCTGAAATGTCACAGTCTTGAAAACCTCATGGAGCACAGGTCTACTCTGCACACATGGAGTCACCATGAGTCAGAATTGACTTGGCCGCAACTGTTTTTTTTCTTAACCTAGAGCAAGTCACTTACCGTTTTATGCTTTGTAAAATGGTGATGAGCTTATTTTGAGATAAAAGGTAATCCTTGAAAAGAACTAAGAATAAGGTAAACACATAATAAATTATAATAATTATTATTTAATTATTAGTATTGTGTTTTCTAAACTCAAAACTAAAGAATCGTCAAAATGGAAGAATTCTTTCTATGATATTTTGCTGCTTTATATTATCCTGATATTTTTCTGGGTCTCCACATTCAAGAACCGGGAATTCTGGATATTTATACTTTTTTTTTGAAACAGCAAGTATTAATTCACTAACAATATGGAGAAGCCAATTTGAACCTATAAGAAAAATCAAAGAATAAAAGTGACTCATTAAAGAGTCTTGGTATAACAAAAGCATGTAACTTTAGCATATACATCATAAAATTGAAATCTGCAACCATTTCTTGAGATGTACAAATGGTTCCTCTGCGTTTGAAATAACCTGGGCTGGGGGGCTGGGGGTGGGGACAGGACACAGTTTTTGGTGGAAAAAACATTTACTTATGTTAGTATAAAATTCAACTGATTTTATTTCTCAGATTTCTCTTTTAGCAAGAAACAATGCTTCTTTCGGAATTTAGAATATATTCTTTATAAAACAACGTCATGCTCTATAAATTATCATGTATAAATTATTTCACCTTAATGAATATTTTCTGCAGAAACATATGCTTTTGATTTTATAAAAACCCAGCATCACTTAAGAGGAAGAAAAATATTAAATGAGATTGACTTTAACAAACACTTAGAGATGAAATAACAGTTGAAATAATAAAAAAATAGATTATATAAAAACAGGATAATTTAGATTCTCTATTCCTTATCTTCCATTGATGAAAGACCTTTGTAAAACTGCTTTGAGAAACTGGAGGATTTTCATCCTGAAAAATAATCTCTAACATGGAAATTATCATATAAATTACAAAAGTGGCAATGCTTTTGCCTTCAGTCAAAAACCAGGGTGATAATCTCTACTATGATCGGTGCTCGATGGCAACTGAACTTTCCTGCATCACGTCTCTGCTTTCTAGCCCCGCTATCGATCTCCTTCCACCCTCCATCATGCCTTTTTTTCACACAGACTTCTCCCCTCAGATACTAGGGCTTTTAACTCCAGCAGCTCTACTGATTGATTTTAACCGCATCCTCACTGATGCAGTGAGGACCTGGTAGCTTCATGCAGAGATGAACTGACCTCCTCCCGACTTTGTCTTGTACCCTCCCCAGCCTACTCGCTACGCAAACATGCCCTTTAGGAAATGATAGGTTATTTACCACACTTTGGATAAGATGCTAGCACTATGTCATCGCTTCTGGCTTCAAAGGTGTCCAAGGCTTGGAAAGTTTCTGAGGTGCACATTGTGACTGGGTAACGAATCCCCTGAGATGTAAAAAGTAAGCGAGAAAGTGCCGTTTCTTTTGATTTTTCCAAAGCTTCATCAATGTAGTCAATAAATTTGGAGTTATCAGCCATGTTGGCTGCCTGCTAATCAAACTGCTCTGTGGTTGTTCAGGGCAGTGACTGCTTATAAAGGAGGTCCTCCGAGAGTGGAATAAAGGCTCCTCCCGTTCCCGTAAGAATGAGACAATTTAATTCTCATCCACTACCTAATTCCTCCTCCCCCCACCCCCGCCCTTTACATATCCTTTTCTGTCAAAAGAAACGCAAACCACAGGTGCAAAAGAGGCTGAGGATCAGTGAATATTAACTCAAGGGCTGATTACATTACCATTTTCGGAAACTATCCCAGTGAAAGAATGCAATCTCTTAAAAGAAAATAAATTATAAGATATTTAATTGGATCAGGCATAGAATTTTCCTACTAGCAAAAACCAATTCACTGCATGAAATCTTAGCATTCTCTTTGACTCCAAAACAAACCATTCCATGGTTGATAGCTTTGCATATATATTCCAAGTGGTATGACAAGGAAGTAATGGGATTGTGAGGTAATGTAGTGGAATTGAAAAGAGCTTGGGATCTTGACCACCAGGCTGGGATCTGTCATTTACTGGCTCACTAGGTTTAGAAGTTGGAAGATCTGAGTTTGAATCTCGGCTCTACCACTTACTAGCTGTATTATTCTGAGCTAATTAATATACCTCCAAAAGTCTATGGAAGGTGAGGATGACGATAGCTGCTCTTCTTTAACTCTTTGACGATAGCATTGCTGTGTGGCTCATAGAAGACCCTGCTTTGTAAAGGGGAGCACACTGTGCCACCGTGTCTTCAGGCCTCTGTGTTCAGTTCTTTGCTCGTCAAGGTCCTCCAGAGTGAGTTGCTCACTCTCCGTGGCAGAGTCTTTCCCCAGCAGCCACTCTCCGCTTTTTTTCTTGAGTAAGTTGGGCTACAATTCCCTGCCTTCCTTGCAGCTTGATGTTGCCCTGTGGCTAGTGAACGTGAGGAGAAGTGATGTGTGCAACTTCGGGATCACATCCTGGATGACACCATGATTTTGGTAAGCTAGGCTTGTTGATTTGCAGGAAAACAGGCTTCCAGAGGACCAACAAGATAGAGAAAACCTGGATCACTGGACAACGTTGTGTAACAGACCCACCTTCCCATGACCCATCCTGTATAACAAACCTCCTTCTGGACTGTATGTAAAAGAGCAATAATTGTCTATCTTCTTTGACCCACTGAATTTTTTTTTTGTTTTGTTTTAGCAGTTTAGCTTATATCCTAGCTAGTATACTTTCTGGGTGAAAATTTATTCTATTTGGTCTCTTCTTAACATAGGGTCACTATGAGTTGGAATCTATTTGAGGGCAATAGTTTTTTTTCTTTAAGTCAAATCTACGTAAACATGTACTATACTTTTCTTTTTCTGTCTCTCTTATTCTTTTCTCTACATCGTTCTCCTTACCCTTCTTCCATCTTTTCCTCTAACCCTAGGGACATAATTTTTTTTTTTTAATGTATTTACCTTTCTCTAAACTAATGCTAACAAGATAAGACATTAACCCCTAATTATGCGTAGTGCTACAGTCATTCATATATCATTTAAAATCATAGCTAACATTATTGAGCATTTGTATGTACTAGATGCCCTGCCAAGCTGCTAAGATCATATGGATGATTTAATGTAATTTCATAACAACAACCTTATGAAATCGGTGCTACTATTATCACTATTTTACAGGTAGGTTAATTAAGACTTAAAGAGGATAAGTGACTTCTCAAGGTCCCAGAGACAGCTTTTAGGGGACTGGGATACAGGCAGTAGAGCTGAGTCCGCAGGCAAAATGACAATCACAGTGAGATCTATTTACCTCTCAGGCGTCACAGGTTTTGTTGTTAGTGGGAGTGCATTTGGCCTTGACGAAAGATTGTTCTTTGATTTCTCTTTCTGTCATGAGAAACATAAGGCCATGGGACTTTTCACTGGAAAAGAAATATTACCTTCTGAGGAAAGAGATCTTTATGACCACAAGGAAAAAAATTTCCTGGGTTCTAGAACACTCTATTTGATAACAGCATTTTCAAATACACACTACATTAAATGTACATGTAGATTGTAAGGTGCATCCCAATTTCACTATGGAGAAAAGTTCATATGTCAACAGAAAGTATCTTTCTGAGGTAGGTAATGGATGTGAGAGAGCAGTTATTTTTATCTCCATTTTAAGAGGGGAAAGAACGGACCAGAAATGGTTTAATTCCTAGTTAAGAATAGGTAACTGAGTTGGGTAGTATTTGTGATAATTTATTTTAAAAAACATCATTTATCCCAGGACTGCAAAGGAGGTTTAACCTGAGAAAATCAATCGATGTAATTACCGCTTGTCAAGGTGACTCTTATTCATGGCAGCCCCACGTGTGTCAGAGTAGGACTGTGCTCCATAGGGTTTTTCAGTGGCTGATGTTTTTGAAGCAGATCACAAAATCTTTCTTCCAAGATGGGTAACTTGAACCTCCAATCTCTTGGTTAGCAGTAAAACGTGTTAACCCTCTACGCCACCCATGTAATACACCAGTAAAATGATGGTAGTAGTAGTGTCAGAACTTGCCTATATTCCTTAGGGATAAGAACCAAGATCAGCCCAAAGCTTATTCCAGTGAGGTGAAAGTCAGACATACCTCCATTCTCCAACTTCTTTTTACCAAGTCTGACACCAGCTGTTCCTCCTACAGCACTCTCTACGTCTCTTCTGGGCTCAATAATCCATTGCAATGGCCACACAGAGCTCACAGAACATACTTACAGTTAAGTGGTTTATAAGGAAGTAATGACACAACTCAGGATCAGGATGAACAGGCTACTACATGGGATCAAGATCAGGAAGCATGTAGGCAAAGTCGGAAATCTCCCCCAAACTGGAGAGCACATCCTTTCCTTCTTCAGTGCAAGACAGCTCTCTCAACTCCTCTTGGCCATGCAAGTAAATAGGCCCTTTCTCTGTTGTGCATGCCTCCTCTCAGCCATGCAAACCTCTTCTCATCCTCCTCAGGACAGACTCCCCTCAGACCCCTCAGGACAAGCCTCCTTTTAGCAGTGCAGGCCTCTCTGCTGTCAGCCTCCATTGCTAACTGACCTAGCCCATAGCCAGTGTAGCAGTTTTGTTCAGCTCTCTTAGCTGCATTGCTAGCAGCAGGTTTCTGCTGTCACGGCTGACTCTGCCACAGGGCCCCTTCCAGGCCTGCTGCCAACAGCTCTGCCATAGGACCCCTTCAGGGTCTCTCACTGTCTTCAGTGTTATGGATTGAATAGTGTCCCCCTAAAATATGTGTCAACTTGGCTAGGCCATGATTCCCAGTATTGTGTGGTTGTCCACCATTTTGTGATCTGATGTGATAAACCTATGTGTTGTAAATCCGACCTCTATGATGTTAATGAGGCAGGATTAGAGGCAGTTATATTAATGAAACAGGACTCAATCTACAGGATTAGGTTGTATCTTGAGTCAGTCTCTTTCGAGGTATAAAAGAGAGAATTGAGCACAGAGGAGAGGGACCTTCTACCATCAAAAAAGCAGAGCTGGGAGTGGAGCACTTCCTTTGGACCTGGGGTTCCTGCACTGAGAAGCTCCTAGACCAGGGGAAGATTGATAACAAGGACTTTCCTCCAGAATTGACAAAGAGAGCAAGCCTTCCCCTAGAGCTAGATAACTAAGACACTGTATTACAGCTCTTTTAGGATGTTCCTCACCTCCTGTCTCTGTTTCTTCTCTCTTCTTGCCTTTTCTCCTTTTTGCTTCTTTCTTCCTTCTCTTTCTTCTGCCAACCTCTGTGGGATTGGCTGCATATATAAACAAATTCCTGATCAATTTCAAGGCATGGCCCTCTCACTAGGGCCATGAATTGGCCAATCTCCTCCTGGTAGGCCACAGTCACTTCATTTGCATAAGTATATTAACCAATCCCTGCTAGCTGCGTAAAATAGACCAATCACAGGGCAGGCTGCAGCCCAATGTTTTACCACAATTAAAAAAAAAATCAGTTCGTGAAAAGATGAAACTTAGAAATATCTGAGTATCTTATTGTTTTTTGTTTCCATATACCACTCCCACTTGGAGATCTTATTACCTTACATAATAATGGAATGATAGTCACTGTAGTTGTAAAGGTGTATTTAACAATCTCCCTCCTCTGAATAAAAGAAAAGAAGGCTTCATGAGATTGTCCCCTACGTTATAAAGAGTCTTTGTTTCTCTCAGGTAAGGTAGAATTTAAGACTTGGGATTGGTAACATGAGATATGATTCTTGTTATTCTCTGAAGGCTTAGGTCAACCAGCTTTTATAGTTTTACATACTCAACTCTTTATTGCCCAGCATGATGGAAGGAAACAATAGCATACATAATTGCAAAATAACCCATATTGTATGATGTATTTGCCCTGCCTTTGAATGCAGACGAGCCTCATGTTTTGTGTGTTCCAGCTTCCCTTTTTCTCCTCGCGTCCCACTGCATGTCCGGGAGAAACCACGGCACCTCTCAGACTGCATGGGCCATGGCCTGGCTCATGTCCAGGGTATCAGTGGCACTGGAGGCTGATTTAAAGGCTCTTTCCTTGAAATTAAAGAGATCATTCCCTCTTATCTTCTTTTTTACAAAGGTATTTTTTAGGCTACGGACTTATTGTTGTTAGTTGCTGTTAAATGTGACTTATACCAAAGGACAGAGAGAGAGAGCACTTGACCAAAAAAAAAAAAAAAAGTCTAGGGCAGTTGAAATCATGTTGGACATAGTAAAGCAGTAAAGTAGCATATGGCTGAGTTGTGCATATTGACACAAAGGCTGCACAACTCAGTCATATGCTACTTCACTGATTTATTACTTTACGACGTCCAACTTGATTTCAACCACCCTAGACTTCTTTTTTTTAATCTGTTTTCTCTCTCTCTCCCTTGGTATAAGTCGGGTAAATTGGCCCCTTCCTGTACTATCTTCAGGGCCCTGGGGGCGCACTGGTTAGGCATTTGGCTGCTAACCAAAAGGTCGGCAGTTTAAATCCACCAGCTGATCCTTGGA